TGAGCCAGCCCTCAGGGTTAGAAGCAGCTGCCTTTTGGGTTAATGAAAAGCCAGAAATACCACACTTACAGCTGCTAATTGCAATATTTAACTCCCTCACCTGTGCTTATCATTGGGCTGTGGAGGGGTGGGCAAGTGTGCCCTTCTGGGCTGGTATAAAAAATGATAATCACAAGAAAGTCATGGTAAATCAACTGCACACTGGATTTTGAGCAACTGATACGTTACAAAGCAGTTCTGAACCCAGGATCATTGTAACTAAAAGGAGAAGAAAGCCCACTTTGATCTTTTGCAAGCTTTCTGTGAAGGACACTTGCTTGCAGTACTCTTTTTTTTTTTTCCAGCTTTAATTGAGTTTATTGGTACATTTTAGGGATACAGTACAGTTACATTCATTGTTGGGATCTTGTACCTCTACATGACAAGTCTTGATTCTCTTGACTGGCAGCCATGTGAGGAGCAGTTCCCAAAAGTGACTGGCGACCCCTACAACTTTATCCACTAGGATTTGTCCTGTGGTTGTCAAGGCAACAGGGCAGCCTCGCCCAGCACTGGAAAAGCAGTGATGTTACCAAAGCCTGAGCTGGTATTTTTCCTTGCCAACCAGCTGCCTGGGCCACATGAGTCATTTTTTTCCACTGGGCTGGGTCCTCTCTGGCCTGCATGGCCAACTGGATGCAACACCTCTTCCCGGGTAGCCCCAGTCCACTGACTGTCTGCCCTCAGCCACCAAGGCTCAGCAGGGCCCACCGGGCCGGAACAGCAGCCTGCTGGGCACATCTGCTGCCCACTATACTTGCTATCACTCAGGCTGTCAGATCACCGTGCTCCTGAAGACTCAGGCGAGAATCAAACGAACCTAAATGCTCACCAAACACCAGGGTGCTATTTCTAACAAGGGAGCAAGGCTGAAGTGCGCTTGTCAGCAGGGCGTCTTTGAGGGAGACCCTTCTGTAGTCCTGCACAGGGATGGAACCAAACTGCAGCCCCACCTCTTAGGAGCAGTGTGACCATCACGGTCACTGCCCCTCACAAGCCCTGAACACAGCGAGAAGACACCTGAGGGACCGGCCTGGTGCTGGCATCCAGGAATTCCCCCTACTGGGGGCATCTGTTGAGATTTTTGTAAAAGGGGCAGAAAAGTAGATTTCTCAAGATTTAAACAGATCCAGTGCTGCTAAAATACCACTATTTGACCAAATTTTCTTCTGCACATCCATCAGTCAGAAACCTTTCTGTCTATGGTGAAACTGGATGAGGAAACAGATACTCCTCACCTTGGTTTGTTTTTAATTTTTACACAGAAAAAGAAATTATTTTATCAAATCCAATCCCATTCTTTTTCCTTCACATCAGCCAGACTCAAACAAAAACAGACTCAAAAGTCCAAGCCTCCAAAAGTTTTGAAAACTTTCTCTCCATTAGGATCCCCTGAATCTGTCCGTCTGAACAATGTTGCCTTAAGCACATAAGCAAACGGGAGGCCCAAGAAGTCTGGGAACTCATAATAAGTGAAATACGCACACAAAAAAGAGAAATGCCAGAGACAGGAGAGCGACAGGCAAGTGATCCTGATCTCACAACCACCTTCTTTCCCGGGAACAGCCCTGTCTCCCACCCCTACCCCACCTCCGGCCGCATTTATCTTCTACAACAGCACTGTGTCTTTTACTGTCCTGCTCAACAACCTTCAATGGCTCCCCACTGCCTCATGGACAGGGCCACTGAAAAACCTCAATCTGCCACTGCAAATCTACCTCTTTTTGTTCCCACGGAAACCACGAACACACTTGTCTGCTCCTTGTCCCCCAGTGTGTTTATTCTGCCTGACGAATTTTATTCATGTCATTCATTCCCTCTTAGATGCCATGCCCGCTCCTGAGTGGGTTTCAGACATACCGTCTTCAAAGCTGAGCCCAAGCCAAGCTTCCTCCACTAGCCCTCACCCGAAGGTCTTTCCTCCTGTGCTGCTTGGGTTTTCCCTTACCTTTAGTACCTGCATTTTTTTATCGTTACTTTGCCACTTATTAAGCCTGATCCAGTTCCTTAAGCCCTAGCACCTGCAGGCCAGCAACTTTGTAGCTTTCCAGCAATGCAGGAACAGAATATCCTTCATGCTTTGCAAGCACTGGGAGACACAAGGCTCCCTTTGGCATGGAAGGGCCCAAGGCCAGCTCTGCAGTTGACCGCCATTATTCAAGCCAGAGCACACAAGGGCCCTGGGCTCCAACGCCGCGTCCCTTACACGTGAAGTCTGGAGAGACAACCGGCCTCAAGGTCTCTCCAGATTCAGGCTCCACTTGTTAATATGCTGCAGAATCTGTGCTGGTTTCCACCCGGATCCTCCCCTGAGCCTGGGGAGAAGAGTGGGCAATGGGGCAGGGTATAGAGTCCGAAGAAATTGTAAGAATTCAGAGTTTAAGTAGAGAGTTGCAAGCTTTAACTTTTTAATTGAAAGAGAGAAAGCAAAAACTGAAGTCCCCCGAGCCTGGATTCCTCTGGGCGTCCTGGAGTCTTGCGAGGTCAGCCTTGGAGGGGCTCAGGTTTGGAAGTTTCCCTCTTCTCACTCGGATTCTGACCCAGGCTCTGGAAGTTTCCTAAGTGGCTTGAAGTGGCTTCTCAGTTGGCTGGTCTGTCTACACCCAAGGCCCACCCGTGCTTGAGCATGGAGAGGCTTGGCTAAACCTCAGCTTTGAGAATCAAATGCTTTCCGGCAGGCAGGGCTCTGTCAGCTGGTTTTGCCCTCACTGACCAGGTGGTGGCAGAGACACCTGAGCACGGGCTCACGGGCTGCCCCTCCCCGCAGGGGCTCCAACGTCAGTCTGAACCTGCTGCTCGATTTCTTCATGAGTAACAAACTGGCTTTATTGTCCCTTCTCAGAGAAGCAAGGAGAAGGAGGAAACTGCAGGAAGAAACAGAGCTAAAGGGGTGAGGGGACACAGCCACCTGCAGAGCTCATCCTTGTAGGCACATAATTCACATGTGACAGACGTGATAAAAGGTGATTTGCAGAAGGCGAATCAGACACTTTGGGTTTCATAAAACCTTCCCGATGTATTTCAGGGTTAGAATTTAGAAAAGCCTTCAGAATCTCCTGGATGAGCAACCTCATTTTTATAGGTTTGGGAGGCTGGAAAGGCTAATGCAAGAGCACGAGCAGGATTCCCACTACAGGGCCCTTCCTGCAGCCCAGGTTCGCTGTCCTCAGTTCCTCCCTGTATGGACTTCAGGTTCCTGGCTCAGTGTAAATACTCTCAAGCTTGGCCACATCATGCAGAGCAGTCCTGTTTCCCAAAACCTAAGTGCTCGTCCAGGGGAAAAGGAAGGGACCGGGTATGGCAAGACCTTGGGCAGCCGTGCCAAGGGGACCTCCATGTTCCGGTCCAGTGCATCTGTGTTTGGGTTTTGGTGTAAAACATGAGACTGGAATTCTGCTTTAACTGCCTGGGTGTTCCTAAGACGACATACTTTCCCACCACCCCTCCCTTGTGCAGAAGTCACAAGAAAAGTTGGCAAAACAAATTCTTGGTCACTTCTGTCATTATGAATGCTCATCGAATGCTGGAGTGCTCTGTGGAAATGAGGCTGCCTAGCTAAGCCAGCAGGAACTCAGAGCAAAACAGCCTTCACCCCCCTGGGTAAGAGAACTTAGAAAACTTGGAAGGACTTTGGGGCAAGACTGAGCTCTCTCCTGGGTTCTGGCTTGGTTCAGGCCCGCTGAAGCTTTTGTGCCATTCATAAACCTGGGAAGTGACTTGCAACTTTGTTTATTTATGGTCAAGGGCACAGGGGCAGGAGGAGCACGCTCATTTACAAAGAAACCTGACAATGGGGAGATGTAGGCAAGTAGAAAAAAAAAAGTAGGGCCAGGGATTTAGCTCAGTGGTTCCACCACCTGCCTCACAAGCGCAAGGTCCCAAGTTTGATCCCCAGTACCAAAAAAAAGCAATTATCTTCAGCTCTGAACAGATACCACCAGTCACAGTGGTGTCACCCTAAGAAATGCAGCCTCCAGTCCTCATTACCCCGATTAGAAGGGCAGGTAAAGTGCATGAATAAGCAGGTGGCAGAGCAGACCGGATAACAGAGAGGGGTAGATTTTGCCCAAACTTCTGATATTTCAGAGTTTGCTATCAGATAACTTCTTAATCTATCCCCAGCATCACTCCAAGGTTTTGTTCATTCTTTTTAATTAATAAAGTGTCAGTCCTAGTCAAGAGAAAGGTAAAAGGCCTTTAGACACTCAGATCCAAGGGAAGCACAGGAATGGGGGGCTGAGGCTAAAGGGCAGATTTAAATGGCCCCCCATATTGTGAGTCCTTGTCTCAAGTGGCTCACGTTTCACCTGTCACATGGTTTGGGTGTGGAGGGGCACAGAACCCAGCAGACCATGTCACCACTTTCTTGGGAACCCAGCCACTTCCGGTGCACCCTGCAGGGTTCTTCTGGCCCACTTGGTCAAGAAGGGGAGGCAAAAACCTAGAAACCCTGGGATGGCGCTGAGGGAGCAGCTCAGGAAGTCAGGTCTGTGCCCTACAGAGAGGATGTGGACGGCCCCTGACTGCCTCACGGCATTGTCATGAGGATCAAATGTAAGGGAAACTCCTTGCCAAACTGCAAAGAAAGCACCTCCCGGGGGGTCCCAAACCTGTGCATTGGACACGCCCAGGGTGCGCATTCTGCTGATTCGCTTGCGAAGTTCCTCCAGGGAAGGGTGCAGGGTACAGCGCGCTTTCTCTGTGCCTAACAGAGCCCCAGCTGCCACACGTCACACAACATCTTGGTGAACTGAAGGTTCGGAAGGCCTCAGCCCTGACCAGAACACAGTCCCTGGTCCCTCTCTCCTGGCGGCCCACTGTGATGAAGACGACTCAACCTCTGGCATTTCCCACGTGGTGTGAACTTTCCATCACAGCTCTAACTGACTCCTCCCCTTTAACCTCTCACATTTCCTTTTTCACGCGGGACAGACATTCACCAGTCAGCCTCTGTACAGCACCTGCTCCCTACTTCGAGTGACCCTCTCAGACAGCAAATCTGAGTTGTTTCTTTCTTCATCCAGCTCCAGCTCCAGCTGAGACACCTTGTCCTACGAGAAATCACACACATGGGTCGTTTCACTTGTGCTGACCGGGAGGAGCCAGCACTGCCCTGTGGAAGGAAAACCCATGGGTGAAGGAGACCTGAGTGTCACCAGGCTTTGGGAACATGATGTGTCTATTTCTTACATTGCCCAAAGCAGTTATGTTAAAAAGCACGTGTTTTATTGCTTTGGTAATGTAAAAATGCAGTTGTGCGTGTAGAAAAGACATTTAAAAAGAAAAAAAAAAAAGCATCCCAGGCCTGAATAGAAAAACTAAGGATATTTTGGTACATTTCCTTTGAATCTTTTCTTGCCCTATCAGTCAATACTTTTAAAAAAAGTTATACCTAAGCCCAGTGCCTGCTAAAACTCAAGGTGAGGCCTAAGAAACAAGCCTAGGCACATCTCAATGTGTTTCATGCTGGGGCTATGTTTTGCCTTCCTGCTGTTCAGAGCTCCCAAGAGCCCAACTCCTGCAGGCACAGGAGCTGCCTCCTTCACCTCCCCAGAGCACTGGTGGGTGAAGATGGTGGTGGCCGATTCTGATAAACCCATCATCCCACATGAATAACAATCTGTCTTCTTGGTGACTCTCAACTTAATATCACGAAGTGTTAAAAGGAAGAGTTTCAAAATAGCTTTGCATATCAAGAGAGATTCTTGCAATCAAACCACTCCACCTGGTACTAGGGATTGTGTAGGTTTTGCCCCTGTTTCTCTGGTCATTGGTGGAATTGTCATAGGTCTGGGTAGATCCAGAGCCACAAATGCAATTAGTGATTCTAGGCAATTAGCATTCTGGTTTTGCAACCTAAACTGGCAGCATTTGTATATAAATATTGACTTTGCAATTGCTGAAGGTGATTGACAAGTGATGGATGTCTCCATAAATGCCCAAAATTAAACTCTTAGAACTCATATGAATGACAAACTGTCTGCAAACAGCCTTCCCTGCCGGTGTTCAGAACCCATAGGGACACAAGGAAGCTTCCTTCCAGGAACAGCGCTCCAGAAGCCACCTCTGGACAGAACTGGGTCTTCCCCAAAGGTGCTGTTTGTTCAGGGTCCCACTTCTTCCCAGCCCACCTCAGCATAGTTAGAAATCTCCAAGGGTCTGCAAGAGCTGCACTCGTTAAAGAAAATGTCCATTACATGGAGAGCTCTTGAGTCCTGAGAATTAGTTTGTTAAGTGCTAGTGAAGGAACAGCCAAGACATCTGACTCAGCAAGAGTCCTGGAAACACCCCCAAAAGCCAGTCTATTATTAATGGAGAAATATCTGAAATATTGCATGCAGCCAATGCAGCTTAGCCATGCCACTGCTTGTAGTTCTTAAGTCAGCCAGAAAAATGGTCTTTTTAATCATAAAACTCTAGCAGGCAATGACCTGAGAACCTAATCTTCACTAAAATCACCAGTCTTCCTGCCCCAAATCCATAGTGTCCAGACCCCGGCAGTGGCACCCAAGGTCCAGGCCAGGGCTGCTCACACCAAGGCTCTTTCCCATCACAGGAAAAGCTGTCTTGGCTCTAGAAAAATCCACTTCTAGTTAAGCAGGTTGACCTTAGCTTGCCTGAAAATGACCTCCCCTAAAAAGATCGGGCCTAAGAAAGACATTAGCAAAACATAGCAACCCCACAGAAAAGTAATAAAACTGCAATCAGATTATGCTGGTCTCTAAAAGAGGCCCAGCTAATAACATCATCAAGAGCTGAAACATCACTCCCTAGATATAAAAGGCTAAGTCCCCTGGAGGTTTCAAAATGTTATTTCTGTTTATTTGCAAAGCTGAATCAGGAATTCCACTGACTTTGAATTTAAGCTGTTTCCCCCCTGGCCTCGAGCACTGTCTGTCTTTTATCAAAACCCGGACAATTTTAACTTCTCTCCAAGTCTAAGCCTTATTTTTTAAGGCTATCTTTAAATTACATTGAAGCATGTGTGTACGTGCTCATGCGCGTGTGCGTGTGCACCTGAGAGAGAGAGAGAGAGTGTGTGTGTGTGTGTGTGTGTGTGTGTGTGTGTGTGTGTGTGTGGCAAGTTTCTGGTTAGTGGCCAGTTTTGCTCTTGAGGATTATTCTTTTTTAGAAGGTCAGACAGACTGGCCAGGGTGGTGGGGCACACCTGTGACTTCAGCATGGAGGAGGCTGAGGCTGGAGGATCAGCCATGAGTTTGAGGCCAGCCTGAGCTCCACAGTGAGACCCTGTCTCAAAAAAAAAAAAAAAAAAAAAAAAAAAGAAGTCCAGGCAGACTGACTCCTAGGTTCTTCCTTTCATCCCCAGGGTCCTTAGCCTGGACACACAATGCTCCCAGCCCTCTCTTCTGCCGGGGCAGCGCACAGACCTCCATCTGCTTGACCAGCCGGCCGCGGTCATCTCGGAGGTGACTCCTGGCCTCCAACTCATGCTCCAGGTCCTTTAGTGTTTGCTCCAGCAGCTGCTTTTTTGTGAGTGCTTCATCCTGAGCCCGCTGGTAGTCCCGTATCTCCTCCTCCATCAGGCGCATCTAGGATGACAGGAGTTGGGGCTTCTCAAAAGCACAACGGCCCAGCAGACCCCACCCCCAGAGCAAAGGGGATCCTGTGGCCTCCCACCCCACTGAAGATTAGAAGACCTTGTGCAAGTCTCACGTCTCTCTGGGCCTCAGTATCCCCTTCTATAAAAACAGGGCACTTTGTAGCTACAAGCAGCAACCCTTTTAGGTTATAAATTCAATCTATTCAAAGCCAATGGGCATTTCAATGTGCCATAAGTCCCTGACTTATAAATGAGTTCCACCTGGGAGAACATTCACAATCGGACAGAGTGAGTCTTATACAGTACACCTATGAGAGTTTGTACTCAAATGTTCATAAGTCAAGGACTTACTGTAGCAGAAAAAATAGAGTATCAGCAGTACTGTTCTGTAGTCTTTTTGTACTAGACGTTAACATATTTGTGTAGATGGCTGTGCTCCTAGGTTGCAATGCAAGATGCCGCTCTTTGGGTGCTGGACCTTACACTTGGGAGCCTCTGAACCAGCTAAGCACTTTTTCCAGGAGCAATTTATTATCGGTATCACGTTGCCTCGAAAGAGGCTAAAGTTAGGATAAAATAAAAGCTAAATGAATGGTCTCAAGGAACTCACAAGCACAAAACCTCATATAAACATGCGCATTAGCTGATACCTACTGCTTTGTAGAAGAAAACAGTCAATCAGCCATCACAACCTCCAGTGTTTTGCAGCCACATGGTGGCACTAAACTCACAGCTGTGAAGAAACTACAAGAGACTGAACAGCCAGCTTCTCCTGGGCCTGTTCTGTTTGCAAATTCCCTGCACTCGCCAGGGACCAACCACTTCAGAGACAGAGAGCAGCGTGTTCCTTAAGCATCTGGGTGCAGCTCAAGGCTGGCTCTTCTGTCCCACCTTCCCAGAGATGGTACAGGGCATGGGGCAGAACAGTCATACAACAGAAATTACCAGGATTTAGTTATTTATTTTAGAAAGTGTGGAAGCGAGGGGCAAATGCCATTGTAGAACCCTTCCCTTGGGAGGATAGAAAAGATGGTGATGATAGAAAAGCTGGGGAAGTCGAAAGAGGGTAGGAAGAGCAGGGCAAACCAGGAAATGTGTTCTTCGGAGGCTGACAGGACACCGGGCATGTCTAGGGCAATGGCCCAGCCTTGAAGAAGATGTTTCCAAATAGACACCCAAGTCTGGTCTTGGTGATGGGACTGAGTCTGTGCAGAAGCACAGACTGAAGATCAGCCTGGGAAAAAGGCTGGTGGGCCTTTCTCTGGACACAGGCCTAGCTACGCTCCAGGCCATTAACTCTTTCCAAAACCAGGAAATTCGGAGGCTGACAGGACACCGGGCATGTCTAGGGCAATGGCCCAGCCTTGAAGAAGATGTTTCCAAATAGACACCCAAGTCTGGTCTTGGTGATGGGACTGAGTCTGTGCAGAAGCACAAAGCACAG